CCCCCCCCCCCCGGAATGTGGAAATTAGCAAAAATAAAAGGAATCAAGAGAGGGCGAGATGGAGAAATAAGAAATGCTATAATAGAAATGCCATATGGAAAACTACTCAATAGGCAGTGAATATGTTATATCCTCTAGAAGTTGATGACAACGAAACTATTCAACAGCCAACTCCGGAAACCCCAATTCAGAATTCAGAACCGGAGGAACCGATTGCTACAAGAACCAGAAGGGCTACACGGAAACGAGATGGAACCCGACCAATTTCTATGTCAATAACGAATTGTTTCATTTTAATATCGCTGATTCTCATAACCATAGTTAAAACAAACACCGCGCAAAATTGCAAATGGATATCAGATGAATTGCAAACAGCATTCACTTTTAAGAAAATTGAGAAGATAAAGAACACGACTTGCAACTTTTCCAAACCTTATCTCATGAACGGGGATATTATTATCGATGAAGGAGTCGATAAATGGCAAACAAAAAATGCAATGAACTCAAATTTCAAGGATCAGTTAATTATGGAAGAAATAAACGACGAAGAAAATAAATCAAGAAATTTGATCCAGAGAATATTAAATTTCAATATATTTTTGACATTGTAAACTTACAGTTTAAGCAACAGTTGAGACGAAGTTGTAAAAGCAGAAATAACTTATTACTTTTAATTGCATGGTTATCGACTAGTAACCCAACCTTAGCAGCTAGATTACTACTACAAAGAAGTGATATCATAGCCAAAAGAGTTGATAATAAGTTATTAGTGGCATCTTGCAATGTTAATAAGTCTGAATGGAAGAAAATCGACTTCCAAGCAGGCATAATTAGCAAATTCGAAATTGAAAGAATTAATGCAGAATTAGAAATATTAGCCTAAAAGACATAAAGTTATCAACCTAAAGACCAATCTACCAAAAACAGAATCTCTCTGGACAGAATTAGATCAACAAAGAGAAGAGTTAATTGAACCACTGACAGTACAATTTGAGAAAACTGCTGAAACAATAGAAGAACTAGCACACGTCATAGCTCGTTGGAAACTCACTACTATTAGCATATTCGGTTCTGTAACTTTAATTATGATAATTGTTATAGAACTAAAATTTAAATTAATTGCTTTCATTTTTCATTTTCTATGTATTAAAAATTCAAATCACACGGAATTCACTCCTATGAGGATAGTCAAAATTCCTTCAACTGGACACAAAGATCAAAATTCCTATGATCAACCCATCTGTGGTGGGTTTTTTCTGAATCCTGGAGTGTGATGTCGACCGATAGCCAAATATCACCAGTGTTATCGATCGGCTTCCTAAGATCCGTTGGGCTGCTTTGAATTGGGTTGTGCTGTGTTGTATTGGGTTGAGTTGAGTTGGTCAGGCTGAGTTGCGTTGAGTTGGTTTGGGTTGCAAGAGGTTGAGTTGAGTTGGGCCAAGTTTAGGCTGAATTACGTGAGTCGATTTGGGTTGCAAGAGGTTGAGTTGAGTTGGGGTCAGGCTGAATTGCGTGGAGTCGATTTGAGTTGCAAGAGGTCGAGTTGAATTGAAATGAGCTATATTGAGTCCCACACCGGATTGTAAGGTCTTTATTGAACATAATGAATTAGCCGATTCACAATAGGGTTTATATGCATTAGAGAGTGTGAGTGA